TGGTTGCATTCATCTGCCGCATCCGGGCTGCAGACTGTTTGTTGGCTTCAGCGGCCGTAGCTTCAGCGATGGCCTCGGTGACAGAGATGTCTGCCCTTGCCATCAGCCGGCTCTGGAGGATGGGGTCCCGGAGTCCCAGGACCACGCGGTCTCGCAAGGCCTCATCCATGTCGGTGAATCCACACAGGCCCCCGAGGTCTCTGAGTGTGGCCACGAAATCGCTGATGCTCTTGCCCTCCTTCTGATTCCTCAGGTGTGCCGTCTGATGAGGGTGGGCACGGTGGGGGCGTAGTGGTTCCGTAGTAGGACGTCGATCTCTTTTACGTCTGCGGGTTTGGCTAGGGCTTTTGCCATCTTGAACACTGCGGGCCCGCAGTGTGTCAGGAATATGGCCCTTTTCTTTTGTCCGTTCGCATCTTTTAAGTTGCTGCTCTCGAGGAACATTTGGAATTGGTCAATGTATGATTCCCAGTCCTCGGTTGCTTGATCGAAGGGTGCGGGTGGCGAGTTGTTGCCGGCCATCTCATTGGTCATGCAGGTTCGGTGCCACGTGCTCGGTTGGTCTCTTGTCTCACAATCCCACCCTCGTCGCCAGTGTTAGATCGGGTAGATCGGTCCCAATGAGAGATGCGAGACCAGTGTACTTCAAGCTCTTATTTTATTGTATAGTTCTGTACAGGACCTTGGAGCCACGCCAGCCCTTCATATAGGGACTTGACGGCTTGCCAGCCAATGACAGGGCTTTGAATATCCCGCGATCGGCTCGGCCAATCACGGTTGATTCTTAGAAAGCCAATCACGGCCATTCAGTAGACCAATCGGGAAGCGGCCCGTTTGGGCCAATCAGATTTCATCTTTTGGAGTATGTTAATATAGAACAGAAACCTGTCCTCCTCTGGGGCTGATCCTGCACTTTGTCAGGCAGAAATGCCCCTCAGCCAGCTTGGGAGGGGATTGTGATCCTGGCTACCCAACTCTGCCCATGATCAGTGAGTGGAAGGTAAAGGCCTAAATCAGAGTTCCTCAGGCTCAGCCATTGGGACTTCAATTCCCAGAATTCCCCTCACCCTATAGAAACCCAGGGAGCCTCTCCACCCTGCCCCCACCCCCTGCCCCCACTGGCCCCGATTGGGAGTTCCTGCTGAAAACACCCATGTTTTTTTTGGGGGGGCTCAGCTGGGGTCCTCCCCTTAAACTCATCCACTGTAGGGAGGGTCCTGTCACCTTTCAAGCCCCTCTGGTGAACCAAAGATTAAACACAGAAGATTATTTCACTTTCCATCATGCAAAGTCCTGACTGAGGATCATCCCAGTTTTTCCAGCCCTTCCTTGGAGGACAGGCTCAATTCACAAGACATGAAACTTTACTAACAAGGAGGGGGAAAAAATCACATTAAGTCACCGTTTAGTTTCCATTGTCAAAATACAAACACGGAAGACACTCTCAGGCTGCCCAATGAACAGAAAAGAAAAAAAAACAGCTTCTAAGCGGGTTAAAAGAATCAAAAGAAAATAAAATGAATAAAATGCTGCTGGGAAATCGATTCAGCTGGAAAATCCCCAAGGCCCCTTTTTGGTGTCCATTCTGAAAGCTCTTCAGGTCAGAAATTCTTCCAGGGCACCCAAGATTTTAAAGATCATTTTCAGGATCGTTCATGGGATTTATTTGGGCAGAACCAGGCTCTGCATACAAAAGGGCAGGACCTCCAAAGCCCAGAGAAATAAATGCAGGTAGTCCTTGACTTATGACCATAATTGAGCCCATATTTTTTGTTGCTAAGTGAGACATTTGTTAAGTGAGTTTTTTCCTCCTTTTTACAAATTTTCTTGCCACAGTTGTTAAATGAATCGTTGCAGTTTTAAATTAATAACCTGGTTGTTAAGTGAATCTGGCTTCTCCATGGACTTTGCTTGTGAGAACATTGCAAAAGGGGCTCATGTGATATGGGGAGACTGCGACCGTCATAAATATGAAGCAGTTGCCCAGCATCCAAATCTCGGTCACATGACAATGAGGATACTAAAATGGTCATAAGTGTGAAAAATGGTCATACTGTCACTTTTTTCAATGGCATTCCAACTTTGGTCACTAAATGAACTGTTGTGAGTCGAGGACTGCCTGTAGTCCCACTGCCCATTCCCTCCAGTATGGCCTCCCAGTCCTTCCCAGTCCAAGGCAAAGGCCTGGGCCTCCTTCTTCCTGCTCCTCCCCACAATCCCAGGGGCTTCTCAGAGCTTTTGGGGAGAGGGATCCCAGATCCACTTCCTGCTCTGGGGAGATTTCAGAATCCAAAAGGGATCAGAGCTTTTCTCTAACAGAAGGAGGGGGGATCGGACTCTCCGTGATCCAGAACCGGCTTCTTTCAGGGCCGTCTATGTCCATTTTTTGGCAGTAGCCAAAGAAGCGAACACAATCCTTGGTTGTATAAACAGAGGCATAGAATCAAAATCACGTGAAGTTATCAGTACCGCCTTATAAAGCCTTAGTAAGGCCTGCCACACCTGGAATGCTGCCTCCAATTTTGGTCACCACATTACAAAAAAAGATGTTGAGGCTTTGGAAAAAGTGCAAAGAAGAGCAACTAAGTTGATTAAAAGCCTGGAGGTTAAGACATATGAAGAACGGTTGCTGGATTTGGGTTTGGCTAGTCTAGAGCAGGGGGGTCTCCAAATTTGGCCACTTTGAAGACTTGTGGACTTCAACCTCCAGAATTCCTCAGCCCACAAAGATGGCTGTGGAATTCTGGGAGTTGAAGTCCACAAGTCTTAAAGTGGCCAAGGTTGGAGACCCCCCTTCTCTAGAGAATAGGAGGACTGGGGGTGGGGGAGGGAGGCATGATAGCAGTATTCCAGTATTTAAGAAGCTGTGAGAAAGAAGAGGGGGTCAAGCTATTCTCCAAAGCACCTGAGGGCAGGACAAGAAACAATGGATGGAAACTGACCAAGGAGAGAAACAACCTGGAATCAAGGAGAAATTTCCTAATTGTTCCTGTGAGGACAATTAACAGCTTGCCTCCAGAAATTGTGGGCGCTGCGTCACTGGTGGTTTTTCAGAAGAGACTGGGCGGCCACTTGTCTGAAATGGTATAGAGTAGAGCAGGGGTTGGACTAGAAGACCTCCAAGGTCCCTTCCAGCTCTATTCTGATTCTGATACTGGTCACCATCCAGAGGTGCTTCTCATGTTTTACCTCCAACCCAACCTATTTAATGAAGAAGATCCTGCCAACTTTTAAAATGTTTTTTTTTAAAAAAAAAAAAGCTGCTGCATTTATATTTTCCCCGAGCAAATAACTAGGAACACCCCAAGGGCGTTGCCTGTTTACTAAAGAATAACAATACGTTTTAAATACAGGTAGTCCTTGACTTACAACAGTTTAGTGAACCTTCAAAGTTACAACGGCTCTGAAAAAAGTGACATAACCGTTTTTCACAGTTACATCCTTTCCAGCACCCCATGGTCCCCTGATCAACATTAAGACGCTTGGCAACTGATTCATATTTATGACGGTTGCAGTGTCCCCGGGTCATGCATCCCTTTTTGCAACCTTTTGACAAGCAAGGTCCATGGGGAAGCCAGATTCGCTTAACAACCAGGTTGCTAACTGATCCACTGCAAGCTTCACTTAACAACCAGGTTGCTAACTGATCCACTGCAAGCTTCTCTTAACAACCAGATTGCTAACTGATCCACTGCAAGCTTCACTTAACAACCAGGTTGCTAACTGATCCACTGCAACGCTTCACTTAACAACCAGGTTGCTAACTGATCCACTGCAACGCTTCACTTAACAACCAGGTTGCTAACTGATCCACCGCAACGCTTCACTTAACAACTGAGGCAAGAAAGGTCGTAAAATGGGACAAAGCTCACTTAACAAATGCCTCACTTCACAGCAGAACTTTTGGGCGCCCTTGTGGTCGTAAGTCGAGGACCACCGGTATTTTTTAATTCTGCAAACTTACTGGGGGCTTCTGAAATGGAAGAAGGAACACCTGAGGAGGTTATTGGGCTTTAGGATGGGATATAGGGGAGAAAATGAAAATGGAGAAAGAAGGATCCTTAAGAAGATTATTCTTCCAGGGAGCGTTTCTCTCTAAACCCCGACCCTCTGGCGGCGTTCACACTGCAACCTTCGCCCAATTGCTCCACTGCAACAGCCTCTCATTTGGCAAATGACACCCAGTTGTGTTCCTAGAAATGGGCTGAATCCTCCCAGCACCAAAGCTACAAAGCCCACCCAGCCTCCTAAAGGCAGGAAAGACGGAGGGGTTGTGCGAAGGCAGCCAGGAGGTTGTGAATTGACCGGATCCCGCTTTCCAACAACCTCTGCTTTAAAACAGGGAAAGGATTGCGCTTTGGGGCTTCCCAGGTAGACTTGACGGGCCCCTGGAGGGGCCACCCTTGTCCTGATCCCAGTGGGGCTCGCCTGGATTTGGGGGAGGGGGGGGAAGCAGCAGCTTTGGGGCATAATATCAAAGTGGCCAGAGGAGGAGGGGGAGCGGACTAAAAAGAGGACTGAATCAGGAATCTCTGTCTGGGTATGTATTACCCTTTGCAGAGGGGTGGGGGGAGGAGAAAGTTTCCGTGGCACTTAAAAGGGGCGGAAACCCACCCACCCTCCAGACCCCCAAAGGGACTCACCAAAGCAGCTCTCCCTCAGGGCCACAGCCACCAACACCAGGAGCAAGAGGGGTACAGAGCGCAGAGCCATCCTGGCCGCGATCCTCAAACCTGTGCCCCGCTTTCCGGAAGTAGCAGACAAAGGAAAAACTTCTCCCTTTGATCAACAGAGCAAACAACCCGGAGCAGGCTGGCGATTGGCCAAGCTCAACCAATAGGGAAAAAAAAATATCCCCATGTCGGCATAGTTGCTTGGCAGATGTCCAGGCTCAACAGGTGCGAAAAGTGAAAGTCACATCAGGAAATCTTGGGGTGGGGGAGGGGCAGAATTGGGGCAGTGAAGGGACCCTGAGAGCAATTAATCCATAGGATACCTTGCTTCCTGGAGCTGGTAGGTGGTCCATCACTGGAGATGTTCAAAAATGGACCCTTTGATAAGGATGCTATAAGGCAGGGGTCTCCAAACTTGACCCCTTTAAGACTTGTGGACTTCAACTCCCAGAATTCCTCCTCCTCCTCATGTTAGCTCAGGAATTCTGGGAGTTGAAGTCCACAAGTCTTAAACTTGCCAAGTTTGAAGACCCTTGGTGTAAGGTCTCTCCTGCCTATCCCACATTTTTCTGTATTTTATATCTATATCAGTTTTATTTTCAGGCAATAGAAATGTCCCCAGGAATGCCAGCCAAAGCAAAGCCTTGCCTGCAAAACATGTTTTTCTAAGAGAAGCTTACAAGAGTCATTTAAAGTTGGTCCAAGGTCCAAGAGCTAACTTAAGGTTGTCAACAGATCCAAGGTGTGACATTATATACACACCAGAGCTAAATGTTCTTTCCAGCAAAGAGAACAGAGTCAACCTCTCCTATAGGCTGCAGCCAACTGTCATTCATTGGAATGATTACTCTGTTGCTAGGCAATGACCAATAGGATCTCTGTTCTGCTCTCTTTTGGACAACTAAAGTTTAGCTTTTCTTTTTCTTTGCCCAACTTATATGTCAACCATTTTCCCAGCAGAGTTGAAAAGCCAAAATTTCTCTGCTCTTTTTTTCATAGTTCATCTTTATTTCCATTTTACTTACTGATAATACATGTGCCCTTTATTAGTTAACTATTTAATTGTCTATTAAACTTAATAGATAACTGGCTGTGTGAAAGTTTAATGTGGTGGGTAATCGTTGTCCTGTTTGGGAATTTTTAAACCCTTCCTTTTTTAAAAATCTCATGCAAAATAACTTGTGTTTTCTTCTTGCCTTTCCTCTTTAAATTTACCATTATGTTAAACATGCATCCCAAACTCCTACATGTAGTCCTTTTACATTTAGGACCACAATATAGACTAGAAAATTTGTCATTAAGCAGTGTGGTCATTAAGTGAAACTTCATATGAGCACATGAGGTGAATCCCTGGTCGTTAAGCAAGACATCACATAACTATGACTTTCTCTGCCGGCTTCCCAATTGACTTTATCAGAAGCTGGAAGGGAAAGCAGTCATGGGACCTCGGGAGGCTGCAACTGTTATAAGTGTGTGACAGTTGCCAAGCACCTGAGTCACCATGATGTGACAGCAGGGAGATTGTTATGGTTATAAGTGCGAGGACCACGCAGTGTTTTCAGTGCTGCCATAATATGGAACAGTTGCCAAATCAGGGATGTTAAATGGAGCACTTCCTGGACTTGCCTCCCTTTAGAAAGTGTGTGTAGAGAAGAGCAACAAAGGTGACAAAGGGCCTGGAGGCTAAATCCTAGGTTGAAAGGTCGAGGGAGCTAAGGATGTTCTGTTTAGGGAAGAGAAGGGTTTGTGGGGAGGACACAATAACTATTTTCCAGTCAGGGGTGGGCTGCTACCAATTCTCCTCAATTCAGGCGAACCGGTAGCTAACCGGTAGCAAATGTTACGGCCGATTCGGCGAAATGGCAAACCCCACCCTTGGCTGGCCCTGCCTGCCCCACTCCTCCCCTCCCGGGACTCCTCACACAGCCTGTGGGGAGCATCCCAGGTAAGTACAGGGCCCAAGGGAAGGCTCAGGG